TAACCCCAACATGAGAGAAGCCACTTATATGTCAATTGTCATCACTTTGAGGACCCTTAATTTCAATTTAAATTTTTTTTAAGGTGTTACCAATTGGACTAATTACCGCAATATGAAAATTTCAAAAGTAAAATTGATAGAATTAAAACTATAAGAAGTATATGACACAAGAGACAAAGTATTACAAAAACTACAAGTTTTATTTGCCCTACTATATATAACTAATTTTTCTTAATTTTTTTCCTAGACATAAAAATAGTGAGATCCATATTAATAAATACATGTAATGCTATCTATTAATAAGAAAATCAATAAAAAAAAAACTTCGGCCATCTTTGGTTTGAATTTCTAAAACTATTTTCAGAATTTTTTTGGAAAAAATAAAAACTAGTTTGATAAAAATAAATATCAAAAACTTAATTTTTAAAATTATTTTTGCTCTCTCAAAGAGAAAACTATATAAAATTCGTAAGTGTTTTTTTAATTTTTTTTCATCAAATTAAATTTTAATTTTAAAATTAAAAATTTTATAAGAATTTTTGAAAATCAAACCAACCAGAACTGAAGTGCACTATCTCATCCACAAAATTATGAGCGTTGACAATAATAGCTAATGATAATGTTTAAACATAAAGAAAAATAACAAAGGGCCAAATATTTCAAAATGAATAAAGTCTTTAATCACACAGCTAATCAATTGTGTCCAACTTTGCAAGAGTGTAGTAGGTGCAAAGTGTTCAAAAGATATGAATAAGAAAGATTAGTGAGGAGAATTGATTTTTACAACCTGATGTACAACTCCATGTCCTTTAAACATAGTCACAGATCTCTTATACGATTTTAAGCTAAAATGTTACAATTATATTTTTCATCTAAATTAACCAAAAGTGTCTCGCATGCCTATTTTGAGAGTAGGAAAGGGAAAAAAATTTAGTCAAACTTAAATTTTAATATAAGAAGACAAAACTAGTAGTATTGCTTTATCTTTTTTTTTTTTTATATATCTAATTTTCTTATTTAATAATATTTTAAATTAAACATACATATTATATATATAATTAAATTAACCTAAATACCTTAATTTATTATTACAAAAATTAATCATCAAACTACTTTAATCTAACTTTTAGTTTGTAACCCAATTTTTTATTTTATAACATTTTAAAATAAACATAAACATACACATACACATATATAACAAATTAAATCATAAATTAAATTAAACACCCTAATATTACCATAAAATTACATTATTAAATAATATTTTAAATTAAACATATACATAATACATACATATATATATATATATATACATATATAACAAATTAAATCATAAATTGACTTAAATAACTTAATTAAATCATAAAAGTACCTTAATTTAATTTTTAACTCAATTTATTAGTTAATAACATTTTAAATTAAACATATATATATATTAAATCATAAATTAATTAAAATTAAAAATTAATTTTATTAAAAAGATATATTTAGAAAATTCGAGTTTCTTAAATTAGTGGTGATATGTTTTTTTTTTTTTTGCTTAGTCATTGAGGTAAACTTATTTATTTATTTACAAAGAGAGTCAAAAATAGAAAAAGAATACATAAAGGGTAAAATTGTCTTTTTATGGTTAGCATTAACGGTGTTAAGATTGTATTTTAATCTAAAATCACATAGAGGGTATATGACTATTTTTAAGAGACAGGAAGTAAAGTGCTATCAATCATACCACAAGGAAGTAAAAATGAATTTTCTCTTATTTTATTAAAATAATAAAATTTATATTTTATTATTATCTATATATCTATCTATACTATTATTAAGTGAATGCCTCAATTGGTGTAGTAAAGTCTTTACTCTCTTCCTACCACGTGACTCTATTTTTTAATTTTTAAAAAGAGTTACACAAAAAAAGTGAATAAGACTTGAACCCATGATCATGAATTTAAGGTTTTATGATTCATACTACTTAAACTAAAGTATACATTATAATATTAATTTTATTATTATTTTTTTATTCTTACTTAATTGAATTGCACACATCACATGTACAACCTGCTAATATTATATAAAACACATAATTCAAAAACTTTGTCATGTTCTTTTACTTACGCAAAATATTCCTAAAATTACTAACTGCTAAAACTCTACGTCCTCAACAGTTTTTTAAATATATCCCGTTTGCATGGTGAGCATAAAATCATTTTTTTCCGGCAAATAATGTTGTAAAGAGTGATTAAATTTAAAATCTAAAAATTGAAAGAGTTCGTGAATTATGTCAAAAATGTGGTTAATATAAAATTTTAGTTTCCATGTTTATCCCAAAGTTTGTGAGACCAAATCTGTTATTTGTGGGACCAAATTGATTGTAAAAATTAGCATGATGGATTATATAATATAGAATAGATAAAGCTTTTTTTTGACTTATATAACTGAAAATCTACCTATACTTTTATTAAGTGAAAGTATAATTTAGTGAAACTTTCTTCTCCTCATGACACGTGGCAATTTTATATATACTGAAATAAAAAAAATTATTATACACAGCGTAAGTAAGTTTTAAATCCAAAATTTTGAGTTTCATTAAAAACATACTTATCACTTAAACATCATATATAACAACATACATATATGATATTAAATTCTTTATTCTTTATTCTTTGTTATTAGTTATATGAATTGCACATGCATCTGGTATGCCGCCCGCTAGTACTATTATTAAGTGAAGGCCTAAATTGGTTTAGTGAAACCTTCTTCTTTTCATACCACGTGACAACTTTATATATGCTAAAATAAAAAAAATTATTATACATAGCGTAAGTAAATTTTAAACCCAAGATCTTGAGTTTCATTAAAAATATATTTATCACTTAAGCAACATATATATTATGATATTAAATTCTTTACTATTTATTTTTATTATTAATTATCTGAATTATACACACATTATATGCTACTCACTAATATATATATATATATATATACATATATGTCTGTATGTGCGTGTGTGGAGTGCGAATGCAAAACAATGGAAGGTGGAGAGAAGGAAACATACGAAAGGTTTGAGGATGTTGTGTCAGTCTCGTATATTATGGAATAGATAAAATTCTTTTTTGGCTTCTCTTATATGAGTTGCATTTGAGCAGTCAACAGCATCCTATGCACAAGAAGCAAAATGCAAGCCACAAACTTGACGAAATTAAATGTAATTTTATGTGGGGTAAGCCTTAGTTTGCAGTTTGACTCTGACAGGAGAAGACAAAAGTTGATTAAGATTAATTAAGGAGGAAAATAAACATTTTTGGCTCCCAATTGTTTATCCAATGTACCAAAAGAAGGATCGATGACTTATTATCCTCAGAAACATTAAAGAATTCATGCACATAAGAAAATAAAAGTAAATTTCAAAGAAATTATTCAAGACTGCAACATGTGGACCAATTACTCAATATCCATAAATCAAGAAGATACCTGGAAATTGCGTGAAAGGAATCCCACCAACGGCTTGTCCTTCTCATCTTTGCTAATTTTAAAGAGACTAGACAAAACTTGAAGCCTGTTTAATGCTATATATAAAAGTGCACAGGCTTTAGGATCCTTACTTTTCAAATACTGTTGTCTAGCTAGCTTCTCCATCTACAATATAACAACCTTATCAGAGTCAGGGAGAAGCTGTATGAAATAGAACTTAAATTAAAAACCATTCCTTTAGAAACAGCTGTGGAAAATGATAAGAATGATAAATTTGATGGCATGAACAGCCAAACAAAATACAAATGAGATATGTATAAATTTATCCATGTGCTTGTGTATATATAACATAAATTTGCATGCATACATGATAGACCTAACAAATTTCTCATAATATGAAACATGTTATAAAAGACAACCGCTAACTTAGCAAACACAAACCAAAGCTTAACAAGAGTGCAGTTAATATATGTGTATATATATATATATATATGATGTACTCAAGTAATGTAAGAAAAATATAGAAAGTATACATGGTGATACAACAGATATTAAACATATTCTTACTACATCCACCAAATTAATGCTACTTAGATACTATAATGCTGTTGGTAGCAATAGAAAATGGACCCTTGAAGTGCTCAATTAAAAACCTTAACACAGGTTAACAATTACAATGGAACGCCTCAGTATATCTCTTTATCCTTCACAAAGGGAAATGAAGTGGTAAAACAAAAGAAAAGAAGAGAACAAGCAAAAGCATTCTCTCCATTTGCAATTAAAATTCATGAAAAACATGCATTATTGCTTTCCGTAAAAGCTCAACAGAAATTCAATGCTCGTCTTCAATTTCTCATTTTCAACTAAACAGCAGACAGCAGAAAAACACAATTGATAACATAAACAGAAAAAGCACACCCAAAATGCTTTAAATCACCTTAATAGATTGGGTTTTGTCAAAAATATAACTAAGTAATATTACAAAAGCAACAAGAAATTTCATGTAGGAAAAAAGAGATTAAACAAAGTAGCTCCAAACATTACCTTTAAGCGCAATTGCGTTGCATTTATATACCAAAATCCGACTCCCATATTCTGCATTTCTTGCCAAGATGGTTCATTTGGTAGAAGTGAACTGAACAAATTGTCTTGACAATCAGAGTGAAAAGCCCAAGCAAACAGCCCTGAGTCAACAACCAACTCTCCCACCGGTGCAGATCTACCAAATCTTCGGGAGAAATATAGTTGTTGAAACCTTACAGCCACCCAAAATCTTGACCCAAAAAAATAATGATAAATAAATTTGATAAAAAGAAAAAATTAACAAAGACCACAATTGTAGCATCAAGAGCAAGACCAATAGAGACGAAGGCAATCATGGCAATGAACCAAAATACTATACAACTGCATAGATATGATGAACAAAGAACTTAACTCGCAGTTTTTTTTTAAAGATAATTTCAAAGCAATAAAGGCACCTTAACACAAAGCTCACGTGAATTAAAAAAGTTTCGATCAAAGCAAATATCAGTGAATAAAGTGAATCTTCATAAAAAAAAAACTTGGGAGATTTAAATTGCCAAATTAGGCCATGTGCTGCTACATGTCTAATTCCAGTCAAATTTACTGGCAACCATTGACCGAGGTTTGACATGGCAAGTTGACCAAAAGTCAGTTTTTTGACTGCCACAATTAGAAGTACAGGTACTAAATGAGATTTGAGGTAAAGTACATAAGCGCAAAGTGTAATTTACCACATTAAAAATGCTTCAGCATCAATTATGCACTTGGCTTCATTTCCTGCTGTGAACACTTTGTAGGATGAGAATGCCTGCCAGTTGAGGAAAAAATGGAATAGAGATTATTCTTTTTCTTTTTCTTCCTCCGGCTCGGACTCGGATTCAGCTTATTCTTCAAAGGAAAAGGGCAGTAAAAATGGAAAATTGCAAAATGAGTTTCAGAAGGTGACAGATGACATTAAGGAAGAACTTCAAGTGGCTGACTTGAAAAGGAAGTTGACAGAAACTACTGAAGAGCTTTTAGAAATTCATCCCCGTGAACTCAAGTTCATATGTGAGTCTTATCAATCTCGATCATCTGTTTTCCTAGTCTCTCAATTCCATACATTTGATTTTGTAAATATTAGTACATATTATATTTTATATATACTCTTTGTTCACTTACCAATTGGTTATCTAAAGCAATCTTTTTGAATAAAGAGTACAATTCATTGTTGATGCATTATTTTTTTATTTTGGGAAAAAATAAAAAATAAAAATTGCCGTGACTTTCTTATCATGTTAACAAGATACCAAAAATGAAAACAAATTGGTTTAATTTCTTACTGGGAGCGAATTTGTTTTATTTCAACATATTATTTCATTTGCTTTTGTTGTGTTTCGAATTTCAAACTAATTGATTAACATGCCCTAATATTATTCCTTTTTTTCTTTTATAGTTGAATTGAAGAAGCAGTCAACGTGCTCTGTTCGACTCTTCAATAAGTCCAACAACCATGTTGCGTTTAAGGTACAAACAAATCATGTTTTATTCGCATGAGTAGTACTAGTGAAATATTGCATTTTCTAAATGGAATGGTGGGTGGAAATATAATCAATGGATTTTTTGGCAGGTTAAAGCTACATCTCCAAAAAAATATTCCGTGCGACCGAACA